AGAAACAAGGAAGAGAAAGAGAGAGTTTATTTCATAACATTTTTAATGACATTTAGTCTTATCTCTGCAAAAGCCAGACTGTGAATCCATGTACAGTAAATGCATGCAAACCAGCCACCGTGATAGTGCTGTAAAAATTCTGCAGTTGTAAACATGCAAATGAATCATGACAGTCACTGTATCTTGCAGGTATACATCAATCTCTCCTCTCGACTGATATCCACCGGTCTCTCTGTCTCAACGGAGCTGGGGGGTTGAGAAAGTGAATATTGTTGCCGACTGGGGATGAAATGCCTTTGCTGTTTTGTGTGTGAATGTGTTTTTATTTCAATAAAGAAGAGGAGAACTCTCAATTTAAAAACAAGCAATGGGGTTGTTCAATTCTGCATGACAAAGAGAACAGGATACCTTCCGCTGACAGTGTATCAACAGTCGGGGTGTGATGTGTGACACTTGAAAATTATTAGCTCTCTAATCCTTAAAGCTGTACACAAAAATCATGTGTTATGAAGATATATACACAAGCAGATACATTGTTTTCTCTCCCTCTCCCTCTCTCTCTCTCTCTCTCTCTCTCTCGCTCTCTGACTTGTCCTCAAATCTAACATACTCCAATGAAATCTAAGAGGGACAGATCTGTGTGGGAATTGTGTTGTCCAGTATGAAGTAAAGAAATTGAATTTGGTGAGGTCAGGGATAGAATATATAACACCAAACAACCAGTAAGATATACAAGCCTATTCAAGAGAGAGATACAAGGCTATGACTTGTTCAATTTTATGACACCCACTGCATACAGTGGACAATACTTTTTTTAATCGTCTTTGATATATAATGGATTTTCTTAACCATAAAGCTGTCCTTTTTTAATTCCATGGCTGTTTTAATAGGAGTGATTAAGATGTGCAGATTTGCACAGGAGAACAGAGAATGTCATTTATTTTTCTACTAATCTGGCTAATGGTCAGCACTGAGTTATCCCAAGGTCAGTCAGTATCACCATCTTCTCACGGTTTAGAAATACAGTATATAGGATCTTGAGCTTGGGGGACATGGTCAGCGCAATAGTAGTGTAATGATCATCCTACCAGAACCTCTTGTTGAGTCTTCGAAAGGAAGTCCATATTCATATTTCTAAGCCAATGAAAAAACCGTCAAAATGCATGTTACAGGATGATGATGATGTGATGATGGTGATGATGGGATGGATAGATGATGTGGTTGATGAATGATATGGGGTGCGCGCAGGGTGGCGCAGGGTCTAAGGCACTGCAATCGCAGTGTAGCTGTGCCACTAGAGATCCTGGTTCGAATCCTGCTCTGTCGTAGCCCCGTGACCGGGAAGAACTCAGGGCGCGCACAATTGGCCCAGGTGTTCAGGGAGGGAATGCGGAGGGATGTAGCTAGTTGGTGAGCATGGCGTTGCAACGCCAGGGTTGTGGGTTCGATCCCACGGGGCCAGTATGAAAAAAATAAAAGATAATAATGTATGATTACTAATGTAGTCGCTGGATAAGAGCGTATGCTAAATGATATAGATGTAGATAATGTAAAAGATGATGATGATTGATGATGATGATGATGATGCAAAATAAATAAAACAAATCTGGAAATACATAGAGATGGAACAAATTACAAAAACAACACCACAACAAGGGTATTAAAATGTAGGTTAACTCAGGTAAAATAAAAAACATTAAAGGGTCTATCTTCTGTAAAATGCACAAATAACAGGATTGAGAATGCAGCCGTGTTGCATAAAGCTGCACCACTGGATTTTCTGCGTCACATTAATATCATATATTTTAAATCATGAATAAGACAGGAAGCAGCCTCCACGTCACCCCGAGACACCATCCCCCCTCATACTGTAGCACCAACAGCCAGCCATGCAGTAAGGTCATGAATTACTAAACATGATCCTCAGCTAAATGTAAGAGACTGCACATCTGAGGAGGATAGCCTGACATAAGCAGACTCCTCATATAGCACCTTCACCACCTTTTATGGCTGTATGCGGAAAGAGCTAAGACCTACGCCACCTTTAAACTCATTCTTTAAACTCATTTGAGGGAACATGACATCTCATTCAGTCAAATTCCTCTCGACATGCTCTAATAGGCCAAGAATGAAAAGCAGTCTTACAAAGAGGAATGTTTTGATCAGCACACAGATGCGACCAGTAGAGCCTCTATAAAGTAGAACCGTTACTCATTTACAGAAATTGAGTATTAATATAGAATTTACTGTTTTGTTTAATGTGTGAAAATTAACCAATTGCTGTTAGAGATTGGGATTTGGGAGCCCTTCACGAAAAAATCACTTGGGAAAATACAGAAAGGTCAATGCTCATAACATATGAGCAATGCATTCTGTCCTCCTCTGGCCCATGATGGGTGTCGATGAAACAATCAATAGGCCTTATTCGAGGTCAGCCCTACATAATGGCTGGTTTTGATGGTGTGGATCTCTAGCGACGCTGCTGGGGGCTCGGAATGCTGAAGATCATGATCCATCTGTGGAATCAGTGGCTCGACTCAAGCTGCTCTTTGTTATTCAGCTCAGGCTGCTCTTCTATTGATATTTCTCTACTGTCAAATAATACCAGGGACTTGCTGTTCCATGTAAAGACGTTTTACAATGAGGTAATCAATAGCACAGTTTGAAAATTCACCTTGATTGGATAAACATATTAGCATTCATGTGCTTTCAAATAGAGATATTTTTCCTGATTCATCTAGTACATGTTTTTACTTTATAGTTTGCGCATGGGGCAGTTTACAGTTTGAGCACGCTCACAAACTATAGTATGGCCTACAGCCTTCAAACTCAACTCTGGACCTCGAAGCCAGGTCCACTGCTTTTTATTGTTCTAATCAGGGACTGATTTAGACCTGGCACACCAGGTGGGTGCAATTCATTATCAGGTAGAACAGAAAACCAGCAGGCTCCGGACCTCATAGGGTAAGAGTTGAATACCCCTGATCTACAGTATGTGTGTGCAAGTACAAGTGTGTGTGCGTGGCTTGCTGCAAATTATATTATTAGAGTAGAGGGGTTCTGGTTAGGGAAGAGAATGTCAGGCTCCTGACACTAACTCATTGTCAAGGGCCTGGAAACAATGAGGCCATCAGAACTGAAATGGACCTTCCAGCATAATCTTGGACTTTTGACTCTTTATTCAAAATTAATTGAGCGCTACTGTTAAAACTAGTGGAACTCACAGCCTAATAAAATAGAGTCATCATTTCCCACAGCCAACCCTTTCTCTAGCTCTCATGTCCTCTTCTCCCAATTCTCTCTGACTCTAGCACTCTATACTAGCTAATGGGGAAATTTCAGTGAACAAGCAATGCATTATTGGCAGCTTGGCAGCTGGGAGAGCCGTTTTAGGATTCAGCCAGGGGATCAGTCTGCAGCACCATCCAGGCATCTCAGAAAGACCCTAGATTAAAGCAATAGTGGTGGCAATCCACCATGGTCTATACTCGGTGGCACACATCCATATAGGTGTGTGTGTGTGTGTGTGTGTGTGTGTGTGTGTGTGTGTGTGAGTGAGTGAGTGAGTGAGTGAGTGAGTGAGTGAGTGAGTGAGTGAGTGAGTGAGTGAGTGAGTGAGTGAGTGAGTGAGTGAGTGAGTGAGTGAGTGAGTGAGTGAGTGAGTGAGTGAGTGAGTGAGTGAGTGAGTGAGTGAGTGAGTGAGTGAGTGAGTGAGTGAGTGAGGTGTGTGTGTGTGTGTGTGTGTGTGTGTGTGTGTGTGTGTGTGTGTGTGTGTGTGTGTGTGTGTGTGTGTGTGTGTGTGTGTGTGTGTGTGTGTGTGTGTGTCACAGCAGGCTGGTCACACCAAACATCATAATCATCAAACCATAAACCGTTATGACATGTATTGGGTGACATTGACATAATTACCTATATATTTTCAAAGCAAATAGCACAAAATGATTAAATAGGAGCAAGACTGTGTTGAATGGTTCAATAGCCTGGTGAAATTGATTTTAATCCGAATTACCACATTGTCTGTTTGAGGGAATAAGGATTATCCCGGTGGTTTTAATACAGGAGGCTGTGCGACAGCTGACCAATACCGCAACAACAAAAAAGTCTAAAGCTCTGCTGTTTTTTCTGTAGGCCTATTTTTCACATTAAAGAAACAAAAAGCTCCAACCACAGCTCGGCTCCGGCTAATTTTAGAGTGGCTTGTTGATTTTGGAGAGAAAACAGCATGAATCATTTTGATTCTATATGTTTTAAGGGTTGGCATTTCGTTTGGACGTCAGGTTGTGAAAATTGTCCTCATAGGTTGAGCCGCGCGTTGATTTGAGGGAAGGGTTGATTAGGTTTCAACGCGCGTCAGGCTATCGGTGGCGTCGCGCGCATTCCACACTAAGCAAGTCGGTTTGGAAATGCTAAAGCGCCTCCTCACTGATATGCACTCGCACACAAAGCAGAGGGATCCGCTCGCGAAACTGGGAACTATCGACTGATCCTCCAGGTCTTAGTACAAAACACGGGAATCTAGTCATCGGCAGGTCCTCTTTATGGGAGCAGACACAAGGATGGTTATGTAATGGGTGTTGGAGAAGTGCCCGGGAAACCTTCCCTTCATGTGGAAAGCAGAATGAGCAGGTTTCTTTCAGCCGAGAAGAAGTTTGGTTTCGACCTGAAGCACATCGGGAAATAAGGAATCACAGTTATAAAGGGATAATAACAGAATATAGAGCAGCTGCAGAACATTCTCACTTACCAAGAGAGGGTATTCTGGTTCGCACCTTTGGATTGTACGTTTTTCGCCTGGCTGGCAGGAAAACATTTTGGAGTACGTTTTTTGGATCTTGTGAAATATCCTAAATCTTTGGCAAAGCTAACGAATAACCCAACAGATCAGAGACCAACGCTTGCCCATCATGGAAATTGAAATGTTGATGTTATAAAGATTCATTTATGGTCAAATGACCGTCTTTACACGATCTCTAATCTAACTACCCTAGCCTATATATGAGATGGAAAAACGGGGACTCAACGGCGTCCTTTATTATTTAATTCTTAATGCACCCTTGTTATTCTGTGTAAATGGTAAGTCAACTTTGTCTGTCGTGGCATGCCGTGCTTTTGATGGTCAACACAAATGCTGTCAATCGAACAGCCCTGTCGTTAGATTTTTTATTTCAAGCTGTTGTGATATGGACGGGACCGGGTCATTATTTGAAGTCAAGCTCATTATTCTGCTGCAGTGACTTGATCGTTAGAAGAAAAAAACAAATGACGTTGTCGATTAAATTATACATGGGTGAGAGAATAGATTGATAAGATTAAAGTATTAGACGCACACATGTCAAGACTGCGCTTCAGCAGTTTTGGATAATGTCCACATTTCCTCAGTTATGCTAAGCCTAATGCTAGATGAACATAATCTCTCAAAACACGTAAAGTAACAATAATTAGTATTCTCATGGTGACCAAATACTTGTATTTATTGTGTTACAGGTTATATCAAACGCCATGGTCATTTCAATTCACAGTGCACGGGTCACATAAAACCAATACGCCTAGTTGTGTAGGCTACCTTTGCGTCATTGCTTCATTGTCTATTTTCTTTTAAGTCTTAAACTATTATAAACTGATATTTTAGATTAATGGCAACCTGAATATGATTGTATTGCGAAATAAAGACAATTTGGTTACGGATATCACTAAAGTATTTTAGTTGTCTGTCATGAGGCTACGTAATCTCAGACCTTTGTTAATTTGTCATTCCACCATATTAATCTATTCTATATGTTGTCTTTTCCCAATGTTAGCTACATTTACTGAAGTGCCCAAAGATGTGAGTGTCGGTGAGGGAGAAGACGTTGAGATGCCGTGCGCCTTTCGGGCCATCGGATCATCGCCCTTCTCGCTTGAGATCCAGTGGTGGTACCTAAAGGAGACAACACCTAAAGAACTTGCACACGAACTGCAAATAAGCGCTCCGGCGAACAGAGCCAAGGTAATGCTGTTCCAATGACAGGGAGGGCAGGTTGGGCTGCTCCCGGGCAACTACTGAGAGGGGCTCTGTTTAAATGTTCGAAGTTGCACCAAAAGTGATTGACACTTACGGCTACGGCTGTGTGCAATCTGGCTTTTCATGATGGCATTGCCATATGTACGACATATGTCGCTATTTGTTTGATGGACTTCATTACAACATGTTGCCGAAAAAAAGCATGTGAGTGGATGTATTGGAGATTATAAACACTGTGTGGCCATTTATATTAAAGAAGGGGATGTGTGTATTGGGGTGGGCCGGAGGGGGGACGTCACACCTAATGATACAAATGGCACTTAGGATTTTAAAATCAGTTCAGAGAGAGTTCTCATGCATGCAGCGGAAATGCCCACGTTGGAATATTCCATTATGCTGTTGGAGAACTGTGACATGATTACACCCTCTGTGCCTCTGTTTCGATCGACTCAGGGACACAGAACAACCCCATCTGTAGTTTCTGCTCTGTTATTTAACCACATTAAACATGCACTGAAAAACACAACCGATTATTTATGACAGCTCGAGAGCTAATGCAGATGTCGCTGTCCATGGTGCTGATGTCAATGCACGCTGTTTGGGGAGCAACGCAACTGTTGCTGTCCATGGTGCTGATTCCAATGCACGCAGTTGTAAAAACAATTTTACAATGTCGAAAGCTTCTCAAAATTGCACATGGCATTCCAATGGTGGTGAAGCTAATATTGTAACGTGTAACTGCTATAAAAGAGAGTATTATGCAGTCTTGTGTCTCTGGCTGACCATAACACTTCGACAAATTTCTGGTTTCAGGTCACTCAAAAGGATGCCACAAAAATAAGCGTAAGTGCTTGTGTTTCTCTTGTCACTAACCATGTCCAGCTGAAACGTTTGATTTGTTAAAATGTTCGCTTTTTATTGTATTTGTATATGGCTGCACAGTTAAGTGCCATAATGCATCTGAGTAATAAAATGTTTATTTCGTTGTTCAAGATCATAGTGCTAGCCACATGATATGGCCAAGTGGCGCTATGAAGGCTGATTGCCAATATTTTAGCACAAGTTATGGTGGTAACTGTCCAGGCCTCTGGTGCAACTGGGCATTTTTCCAAGCATCTTTTTTTCTAGACTTACGACTCCATTTTGTACAGTTTGCTCCAACCTGGCTGGCTCACCACTATCACGCCTTTAGAATATAAATATAACCTAATCTTGTTTTGAAATGTATTCAGAGACTTGCCACACAAAAGGCAGCGTTAAATCTGCCATGTTTAGGCCCACCACTAAACTGCGATGTAATTGCATTTTCCTGCCAAGAGGCAAGTTTTTTCTCTATTGAGACTGCATCCACACGTTTTTGCATTTTTGGATTATAGGCCTTTAGGCTTTAGGCTATCAAACGCATAAGCCCTCATCACGAGCTGCATATGTGGCAGTAGTCTAACGAGTGGCCGGCCTAGTCTACTTTGATATAGACATATTTATTTTCGAAACCAACAGGTTATATTGTGCATGTAGCAATTTCTACTTTTCTCTGTTTCTCTTTGTAGACTGTGAGGGTGCAGGGCAGCGCCATATCTCACAGGCTTAGTCTCTCCAAGGTGCGAAAGGAGGACGAGGGGGTGTACGAGTGCCGAGTTTCCGACTTGTACTCCGACGAGACTCAGGAATACAAGGTTCAAGCCACCCTCCGGGTGATTCCTCGTGATGGCATGGTGGCGGAGGAGGCCGTGTCCCACATCCAGAATAGATGGCCACTGAGGAACAGCAAGGACGCGGTGGCCGGGGGGCGAGCTACCTCTGAGCCGGGTCAGGGAAAGCCTCGTGTGCCTCCTCCGGCGGGACATGGCCCCCTCCCCGCCAGCACGACGACCACCGCCTCTGCAGCGAAGTCCTCAGCTTCGCCGAGGCCCGGCAATGCGGCCATCCTCCGACAACAGCACGGAGCTGGTAAGTTAAAGTGCAACAGTGACACCTAGTGATACAGGGTGAGAAGATGGGAGTTTATGTGTGTTTCTCCTCAATCTCCTGTCAGACCCTCAGGAGCATGTCATTCGGACCAGTGATTTTGCCCTTTTTTAGTGAATGATAAATTACACTGACATTTTTATTGTCATTAAATTATGTAATGTTATTTACAAATAATATATTGGATGACACTTGTAGAGTACAACACCTGTTACATGGAATTATATTGCTTGACAGGGCAATATTTCTTAAGGGGAGGTACTGTTTCTTTCATCATACCATGGTGGGACATATCTGCCTATCTTGCCACCAGTTGAGACGTTTGATTTTTCCCGAGGTTATAGTCAGACTATGGAGAGTGAGGGAAGGTGTGTATATACAGTGGGTATCATAAATATTCACCCCCTTGGATTTTTTCCACATTTTGTTGTGGTTGACATAGTGGGATTGAAATGTCATTGTCATTGATCTACACAAAATACTCCATAATGTCAAAGTGAAAAAAACGTTCTACAAATGTTAACAAATTAATAGGCCTACAAATTAAATAACTAAAATATAGTTGTTGCAAAAGTATTCACCCCTTTTGTTTAGGCAAGCCTAAATTAGTTCAGGAGTGTTCAAATGTAGCTTAGAAAATCACATAATAAATTACATGGACTCACTCTGTGTGAAATAATAGGGGTTGACATAATTTTTGAATGACTATCACTTCCTCTGTCCCCCATATATACACTCAAAAGTTTGGGGTCACTTAGAAATGTCCTTGTGTTTTTCGAAAGAAAAGCAATTTTTTTGTCCATGAAAATAACATCAAATTGATCAGAAATACAGTGTAGACATTGTTAATGTTGTAAATGGCTATTGTAGCTGGAAACGGCAGATTTTTTATGGAATATCTACATAGGCGTACAGAGGCCCATTATCAGCAACCATCAGTCCTGTGTACCAATGGCACGTTGTGTTTGCTAATCTAAGTTGATCATTTTAAAAGGATAATTGATCATTAGAAAAACCTTTTTCAATTATGTTAGCATAGCTGAAAACTGTTGTGCTGAATAAAGAAGCAATAAAACTGGCCTTCTTGAGACTAGTTGAGTATCTGGAGCATCAGCAATTGTGGGTTCGATTCCAGGCTCAAAATGGCCAGAAACAAATAACTTTCTTCTGAAACTCGTCAGTCTATTCTTGTTCTGAGAAATGAAGGCTATTCCATGTGAGAAATTGCCAAAAAACTGAAGATCTTGTACAATGCTGTGTACTACTCCCTTCACAGAACAGCGCAAACTGGCTCTAACCAGAATAGAAAGAGGAGTGGGAGGTCCCGGTGCACAACTGAGCAAGAGGACAAATACATTCAAGTGTCTAGTTTGAGAAACAAACGCCTCACAAGTTCTCAACTGGCAGCTTCATTAAATAGTACCTGCAAAACACCAGTCTCAACGTCAACAGTGAAGAGGCGACTCCGGGATGCTGACCTTCTAGGCAGAGTTGTAAAGAAAAAGCCATAACTCAGACTGGCCAATAAAAATTAAATATTAAGATGGGCAAAAGAACAAAGACACTGGACAGAGGAAGATTGGAAAAAAGTGTTATGGACATATGAATTGAAGTTTGAGGTGTTCGGATCACAAAGAAGAACATTTGTGAGACGCAGGCCAAATGAAAAGATGCTGGAGGAGTGCTTGATGCCATCTGTCAAGCATGATGGAAACAATGTGACAGCCATGTAAATAGTCCGGATGGCCATTTGATTAATTGTTCAGCAGTTTTATAGCTTGGGGGTAGAAGCTGTTAAGGAGCGTTTTGGACCAAGACTTGGCGCTTGCCATGCGGTAGCAGAGAGAACAGTCAATGACTTGGGTGACTGGAGTTTTTTGGGCCTTCCTCTGACACCCGCCTAGTATATAGGTCCTGGATGGCAGGAAGCTTGGCCCCTGTGATGTATTGGGCCGTACGGAATACCCTCTGTAGCGCCTTACGGCCATATGCCAAGCACTTGTCATACCTGGCGGTGATGCAACCGGCCAGGATGCATTCGGTGGTGCAGCTGTTGTACTTTTTGAGGATCTGGGGACCCATGCCAAATCTTTCAGTCTCCTGAGGGGGAAAAGGTGTTGTTGTGCCCTCTTCACGACTGTCTTGGTGTTTTTGGACCATGATAGTTTGTTGGTGATGTGGACACCAAGGACTTGAAACTCTCAACCCGCTCCACTACAGCCCTGTCAATGTTAATGGGGTTCTGTTCGGCCCTCCTTTTCCTGTAGTCCACGATCTGCTCCTTTGTCTTTCTCACATTGAGGGAGAGGATGTTGTCCTTGCAACACACTGCCAGGTCTCTAACCTCCTCCCTATAGGCTGTCTCATCGTTTTCGGTGATCAGGCCTACCACTGTTGTGTCGTCAGCAAACGTAATGTTGGTGTTGGAGTCGTGCTTGGCCACACAGTCGTGGGTGAACAGGGAGTACAGGAGCGGACTAAGCACGCAACCCTGAGGGTCCCCGGTTGAGAATCAGCGTGGCAGATGTGTTGCTGCCTACCCTTACCACCTGGGGGCGGCCCGTCAGGAAGTCCAGGATCCAGTTGTAGAGGGAGGTGTTTAGTCCCAGGGTCATTAGCTTAGTGATTACTTTTGTGGGCACTATGGTGTTGAACGCTGACCTGTAGTCAATGAACAGCATTCTCACATAGGTGTTCCTTTTGTCCAGGTGGGAAAGGGCAGTGTGGAGTGCGATTGAGATTGCGTCATCTGTGGATCTGTTGGGGCGGTATGCGAATTGGAGTGGGTCTGGTTGTTTCCGGGATGATGGCGTTGATATGAGCCATGACCAGCCTTTCAAAGGACTTCATGGCTACCGAAATGAGTTACTCCACAATAATTACCTAAATGACAGAGTGAATAGAGTAATATATATGTATTCGGAAAGTATTCAGACCCCTTGACTGTTTTCCACATTTTGTTATATTACAGCCTTATTCTAAAGTTGATTTTTTTTTAAAGAAAATCCTCAGCAATCTACACACAATATCCCATAAAAACAGGTTTTTAGAAATGTTTGCAAATGTATTAACAATTAAAAACAAAAATACGTTATTTACATAAGTATTCAGACACTTTGCTATGAGACTCTAAATTTGAGCTCAGGTCATCCTGTTTCCATTGATCATCCTTGAGATGTTTCTACAACTTGATTGGAGTCCACCTGTGGTAAATTCACCTAAAAACTCTCAGACCATGAGAAACAACATTCTCTGGTCTGATGAAACCGAGACTGAACTCTTTGGCCTGAATGCCAAGCGTCACGTCTGGAGGAAACCTGGCACCATCCCTACGGTGAAGCATGGTGGTGGCAACATCATGCTGTGGGGATGTTTTTCAGCGGCAGGGACTGGGAGACTAGGTAGGCTCGAGGCAAAGATGAACAGAGCAAAGTACGGAGAGATCCTTGATGAAAACCTGCTCCAGAGCACCCAGGTCCTCAGACCGGGGCGAAGGTTCACCTTCCAACAGGACATCGACCCTAAGCACACAGCCAAGACAATGTAGGAGTGGCTTTGGGACAAGTGTCTGAATGTCCTTGAGTGGCCCAGTCAGAGCCCGGACTTGAACCCGATCAAACATCTCTGGAGAGACCTGAAAATAGCTGTGCAGCGACGCTCCCCATCCAACTTGACAGAGCTTGAGAGGATCTGCAGAGAAGAATGGGAGAAACCCCCCAAATACAGGTGTGCCAAGACTTGAGGCAGTAATTGCTACCAAAGGTTCTTCAACAAAGTACTGAGTGAAGGGTCTGAATACTTGTGATATTTCCGTTTTTTGTTTTGTATAAATGTGAATTCTTTTTCTCTCAAATAAACTATTTTTGCTTTGTCATTATGGGGCATTTTGTATAGATTGATGAGTGGAAAAACCAATTTGATCCATTTTAGAACAAGGCTGTAACGTAACAAAATGTGGAAAAAGTCAAGGGGTCTGAATACTTTCCGAATGCACTGTATATAATAAACATATTCCAAAACTTGCATCCTGTATGCAACAAGGCACTAAAGTAAGGCTGCAATAAAAACACGGCAAAGGAATAACTTTTTGGAATAAATGCAAAGCCTTATGTTTGGGGCAAATCCATCACAATCCATCCCTGAGTAACTGCCTCCTTATTTTCAAGCATTGTGGTGGCTGCATCATGGTATGGGTATGCTTGACATCGGCAAAACTGGGGAGTTTTTCAGGATAAAAAGAAACAGGATGGAGCTTAGCACAGGCACAATCCTAGAGGAAAACCTGCTTCAGTCTGCTTTACACCATACGCTGGGAGAAATATTCACGTTTTAGCAGGACAATAACCTACAACACAAGGCCAAATCTATACTGGAGTTGCTCACCAAGAAGACAGTGAATGTTCCTGAGTGGCCAAGTTACAGTTTTGACTTAAATCTGCTCGAAATCTATGGCAAGACTTGAAAATGACTGTCTAGCCATGACCCCTAACACCTTGACAGAGCTTGAAGAATTTTGAAAAGAATAATGGGAAAATATCGCACAATCCAGGTGTGAAAAGTAGGGAATTTTTCTTTCACTTTGACATTAAAGTATTTTGTGTAGCTCAATGACAACACTTTGTAACGCAACAAAATCTGAAAAATCCAAGGGGGGTGAATACTTATGATTCCCCACTGAGGAGAGTGACAGGTTATTGCCTTTATAGTGTCCACCATACAGAGAAATAAATGATAAAGATATGATTCACAATGGCCATGGATACGATGTCTCCTCATGATCTCCGCACTATAACGTGAGAGTGCCTTAAAGCAGACCTTGGAGAGAGCGAGCAGGGGGCTAGCTCACATGTCAGACTCGCTACTGATCGATGAAGCATACTCCTGAATAATTAAATTTCACAGACTCCGCAGGAGGGTTTAATTCGCCGTTCTGCCATATCAGACGTACAGCTGCTGACGCAGTGGTGGTGCAGCATGGGAGACATGTCTGGCTGGGGGTAGGGAAGGTGGAGACATACTTATCGGTATGTGGGATCACACTTGTCTGTTTATGTGCATTAGCATGTAACTGTTTGCTGATGTATGTTTTGATTGTGTCTGCGTGTGTGTACAGACATTATGTGAAAGCAGCCAGGGAGACCATGTTCATTTCTCTGGCTGGAAGCATGTGTGCAGACTTCTCCTCTCTCCTGGCTATTGCTGTCAGTGCGTTGGTGGTTTGCAGGGTGGCTAAGGGGGTAATGTAGAGCAGGGCCCTCGTCTAATGATAGGGCTGTTGCCAGGGTTCTAGCCTCTTTACATGGGGTTGTCTCTCTCCTCAAGGGTTCTATACTTCCGTGTGGTGATAAGAGTGAAAGGAACTCCTGAAGGGAAGTTTTAGAAATACTTTAGAGGCCCTTGGAGGAGACATGGTAGGGGAGTTCCATTCTCTGTTTCTTCCCTAGTGTGTCTATCGTACTCAGTGTTGTGTCTGCTCGACGTGTGTTGTGGCTTGTCGGGATGGCTGTTCTCCCCTTGCTGTGGCTTTGTCCTCAGGGCAGTGGAGGACAGCTGGTGGTCGATGACTGGAGGAGAGGACTCCAGAGGAAACAGTTATACAACTCTACCTGTGTCTTTGAGCACAGTGCTTCACCTCTGATTCAGTAATATCATCCAACAACATGTATATATCAATGTATGCTTGAAGCCAATGCCATCAACAGAAAATGTAATCAACAGAGCTGTGCAAATTGGTTATTGGAATTCTACATTTACTTATACTTGTTAGTCATTTAGCAGACTCTCTTATCCAGAGGCCATGGATCCATTTGGTATTTTCTGTGTGAGTCGAATCCCTTACTTTCTGAATGAAGCTAACTGACAACCAAGGGGTAATCATGCAAACAACACCAAGCTAATAGAATGGCACCATGCTGTTCGGCCTCCTCGTGTTGGACTGTTTAGAACACTGGATGCTGCCATCCTGGACATGTGCTGTGGACGTGAGAACAGCCTAGTGCACGTTAAATGCCCTGGGACTGGCACTGTGGATCAGCATGCTCGGCCAGCCATGTCCTTAGCGAAGCGAGTTGGAGGCGGCCATTTGGCGAGAAAATCAAACAATACCAGTAAATCAAAAAGCAAGATAAACTCCAGAGGGAGCTCAGTAAAAGCTGACTCGATCGGCTGCAGCGAGAGGAGAGAGGGAGCTCTAGAGTTCGGCAGAGCGAGAGAGCGCGACGCGCTCTCTGAGAGTAGGAGCGCATCGAGAGAGAGGAGGAGTGCAGAGCTCGAGGATGCGAGAGATCGTCAATAGAGAGGCTAGAGAGTCTCTCTCTATCTCTCTCTAAGATTCTCTATCTCTCTGCTCTCTCTCTCTCTTCTCTCTCTCTCTCTGCTCTCTCTCTCTCTCTCTCTCTCTCTCTCTCTCTCTCTCTCATTTTGTTGTTGCTTTTTTGAGACTTTTCAATCACCTAAATGTCAAATTAGCCTGCGGTTGTTCCAAAAGAAATGTCATTGATGTTCAATATTACCGTTAAGCTCTAATTCTAAATTCTAAAATCAGAATCCTATTCACTGTTTGATTAGTAGACTTGAATACAATAGCGCTCTGTTTTGATTACACAACGAGCTAAGGTCAGGCAGCCATTGTTAGGGCAATTGGATTGACTGACAAACATTTGTATATGCCTCATACTGAGCAGTAATACTTCTATGCTCCAGTTCGAAATACTGATTTAGTATCGAAAAACAACATCATCTGAGGATCAGAGTTATTATAGACTGAGCTCTGGGCTAGTTGTCTAAACATGATTGTCCAGTACAGAGCAAGGCAAGCTCACCTGTTGATTTAGGAAAATCTGATGCATATTATTTTTCATATTTTACTGTTTGCTCAAGGCTGCTATATTCCTTTAAATTGGCTGGCCAGTATTTTCTTCTCTGTCTCTCGTCATGTATCTCTGCCAGACTAAATCAAATACAGTAAGTCAATCAATGTAAAAGTGCCTCCCTGAAACTTTTACATTGACGGAGGGATACAGAATTTGTCTTGGCTTTTTTCTTTAAGTGAACCCCACAACATATTTGTCAACAGCTTGTGAAGGTTAAAAAGCACCCTGGCATATTTGAAAGATTGGCCTTCTCCTGTCTTACCACAATTACGACAGCTGAGGGGAAAAAATGCGATCTGCCCGCCTCTCGGAAATGCGTGCATCTGTCACTTTTCTGCAATGTCATCTGGCTGAGTGGCAGAAACAATTAATATTAAAGGGGAAATGCCACGGGCAGGTGGCAGATAAGCCGGGTCCTCACCACACTGTCAGGTGTCTCAAATTGCCTCTCACATTTTAATTTTTTCATCTGGGGGTTTGGTGGCCTTGCTGGGATAACAGATAAACGTGCAGTGCACCATTCTCCAGAGCTTCACAGGGAACCAGATAGACAGTCCCATGGAGGATCAGTGGCTAACACTTTGGAGGTGGAGGTTGTCTTACATGAATTCACAGTGGAATGTGTGGAGACTTCACAGTTGTGAATGTTCCTCCTAGTTCTTAATTCACTAACAGAAAAACTACGAAATGCTACTACACAACAGTGAAATGGAACCATGTTGAAACTTTAAACTGTGAATACAACCATCCATGGAATCACAACCACTAATCCTAGCATTTTTCAACATTACAAACAGAATATTATTGTAAAGATTTTCATCTCATCGCATTTCTTTGTTTGTGGCACCTCCCAAGCATTTATACAATATTGTTTTCCCTTACTTTACATTCACCTGAAATATTGTTTTACGTATCAGTCATTTGGCTCACTTGTTTCACAAAATCAACCTGTATGTAGGCCAATCTGAAAGCCAATTACAATGTGAACCGCTATTACTTAGATAATTAATTGATGAATCATCAAACTAATTCACTGGAATATTCAAAATTATAATTTTATTGACTATCTATATTGATTACGGACTGCGTGATTAATAGGAACATTTGGTTAATGGAAATATTCCATATTGCGGATGTGGGAGTTAGTTAGATAATGTTGCTGTTTGTATTATTCACAGTGAAAGTGAGGTGAGAGACAGAGAGAGAGAGAGCAATAGGAGCAGTTGACAATGCAATAGGATATGCAATAATATTAAGCATTGTGACTGTGTGCACTCAGCAGTTTGGGAGTAATGACTTGGCAGGTGAGCTTGTTTGGTAGGGGGTGAGGAGGATGGCATAGAGCAAGAGGATAGCCAGACAGTGGTGATGCAAGAGCTCACTCGAATACACCTACCTAAAATGCAATGGTCTGCTTGCCACCCTAGATGACCTTGATATCCCTTGGCAAAAGTATTTGTCTCTGGCTGGACAGCTGTCTCAATCCATCATTAAACACTCAGTCTATCTCATCCTGTGTGTGTGTGTGTGTGTGTGTGTGTGTGTGTGTGTGTGTTTATGCCATCCATGCCTGTTAGTTGCATTACTATCAAATGTGATTAAAATACATTTAAATATTATAAACTGTATATTGGACATGGCTGATTTTCCTGTCCGTTTGTGAAGGCTCGCCAGGGTTGGCGAGGGTGTACCTGTGGAGGTAACAAGGTGTGAGAGTACATTAGTCTGAGGTAATGGACACTGTGTGTCTGCATGTTAACAGGCTGATGTGGCTTTTCAGTTGTCAGTCTCCGCTCCGAGGACAATTATGACAAGTGTTAGATAACTGTCAGGACTTACAGACTGTGTGGAAAGCACTTTACTTCTCCCAATGTGGTGTTGATTGACTTTTGTTCATTGCTTGCCTGGCAAAAGGCACTGTGCTGGTTTTGTAATCTCTGTGACAGATGATGGCTGGACGGTTATGGGGACTTCACAGCACTCTATTATTATCGGGCCTTTGTGTTGCTGCCTATAGCTCATCCAAGACAATGAGACAGTGGGAAAAGTGGTAGAGAGGTGGAGAGTTCTCACTTAAATGAGTGGTCACTTTCACCTATAAGGAAAGACACTACATGACCTATAGGGAACAATGGTACAGTGGGGAAAAAAAGCATTTAGTCAGCCACCAATTGTGCAAGTTCTCCCACTTAAAAAGATGAGAGAGGCCTGTAATTTTCATCATAGGTACACGTCAACTATGACAGACAAAATTAGGAAAAAAATTCCAGAAAATCACATTGTAGGATTTTTAATGAATTTATTTGCAAATTATGGTGGAAAATAAGTATTTGGTCAATAACAAAAATGTCTAAATACTTTGTTATATAACCTTTGTTGGCAATGACACAGGTCAAACATTTTCTGTAAGTCTTCACAAGGTTTTCACACACTGTTGCTGGTATTTTGGCCCATTCCTCCATGCAGATCTCCTCTAGAGCAGTGATGTTTTGGGGCTGTCGCTGGGCAACACGGACTTTCAACTCCCTCCAAAGATTTTCTATGGGGTTGAGATCTGGAGACTGGCTAGGCCACTCCAGGACCTTGAAATGCTTCTTACGAAGCCACTCCTTCGTTGCCCGGGCGGTGTGTTTGGGATCATTGTCATGCTGAAAGACCCAGCCACGTTTCATCTTCAATGCCCTTGCTGATGGAAGGAGGTTTTCACTCAAAATCTCACGATACATGGCCCCATTCATTCTTTCCTTTACACGGATCAGTCGTCCTGGTCCCTTTGCAGAAAAACAGCCCCAAAGCATGATGTTTCCACCCCCATGATTCACAGTAGGTATGGTGTTATTTGGATGCAACTCAGCATTCTTTGTCCTCCAAACACAACGAGTTGAGTTTTTACCAAAAAGTTATATTTTGGTTTCATCTGACCATTTGACATTCTCCAAATCCTCTTCTGGATCATCCAAATGCACTCTAGCAAACTTCAGACGGGCCTGGACATGTACTGGCTTAAGCAGGGGGACACGCCTGGCACTGCAGGATTTGAGTCCCTGGCGGCGTAGTGTGTTACTGATGGTAGGCTTTGTTACTTTGGTCCCAGCTCTCTGCAGGTCATTCACTAGGTCCCCCCGTGTGGTTCTGGGATTTTTGCTCACCGTTCTTGTGATCATTTTGACCCCACGGGGTGAGATCTTGCGTGGAGCCCCAGATCGAGGGAGATTATCAGTGGTCTTGTATGTCTTCCATTTCCTAATAATTGCTCCCACAGTTGATTTCTTCAAACCAAGCTGCTTACCTATTGCAGATTCAGTCTTCCCAGCCTGGTGCAGGTCTACAATTTTGTTTCTGGTGTCCTTTGACAGCTCTTTGGTCTTGGCCATAGTGGAGTTTGGAGTGTGACTGTTTGAGGTTGTGGACAGGTGTCTTTTATACTGATAACAAGTTCAAACAGCTGCCATTAATACAGGTAACGAGTGGAGGACAGAGGAGCCTCTTAAAGAAGAAGTTACAGGTCTGTGAGAGCCAGAAATCTTGCTTGTTTGTAGGTGACCAAATACTTATTTTCCACCATAATTTGCAAATAAATTCATAAAAAATCCTACAATGTGATTTTCTGGATTTCTTTTCCTCAATTTGTCTGTCATAGTTGATGTGTACCTATGATGAAAATTACAGGCCTCTCTCATCTTTTTAAGTGGGAGAACTTGCACAATTAGTGGCTGACTAAATACTTTTTTTCCCCACTGTAGCTGGCAATCCATAATGGTAGATCTCTGTAGCGGTTCTCTTTATTTTAGCTACCCCAAGCAGTCAGAGTTACAAACCTATGGCGCACTGCAAGCTGAGGGTGAAATGGTGGAGGAGGCCTTGTTTGCCTCACACTCAGTTTGAATTATTGAACTTCCAAGGCTTTTTGTTTCCTTTGGGTGAAGCCTGTGGGTGTTCAACCTCCCCCTAACAAAAGAGAACATTGACTTTTGACCCGTATGTATCCATGAGGACAAACTTAGGCACCAACCAGAGAATTATCATACAAAATCCTTCTTTGTATGTTCAGTCCAATTAAACGAATAGAACAAAGTCAACCACCTTGGTTTTTTCTCTGTCTCTCTTTGCAACATAGTCTTTTGCCTTTCTTTTTACTGTATCTATCTACAGTACTTTGTATTACACTCCCCATTGCACACTCCATGCTCTGAAAATGTTTTTTTCTTTATCCGTGTCTGTGTTTTCATTCGTTCTATTTGTCCTCCCCCATATGCAATTCCTAATCATTCCCCTATTGAGCCGTCTAGCAGATGCCAACCGTAACCTTCGAGAATAGTGATGTCATCCTAATGGCCATTAGTTACAGGTCTACACAGTGCATAGCTGTTACTCTACAGAAACACTCATATCTAACAGAATGATGAGATTGTACCTCTCATACCCAAGAGGTTCTACTTTAGGTAGATTGTCAATGTGTGAGAGAGAAAGAGAGAGAGAGAGGTAGAGGGAGACAGAGCGAGAGAGGGAGACAGACAGAGAGAGGGAGACAGACAGAGAGAGGGAGACAGAGAGAGAGAGAGAGAGAGAGAGAGAGAGAGAGAGAGAGAGAGAGAGAGAGAGAGAGAGAGAGAGAGAGAGAGAGAGATGAGAGGAGAGAGAGAGAGAGAGAGAGAGAGAGGAGGAAGGAGACCTGGAGCAGAGAGAGAGAGAGAGAGGAGAGGAGAGAGAGAGAGAGAGGGGAGAGGTAGAGAAGGGGAGAGAGAGAGAGAGGGGGTGGGAAATAAAGTCAAGTGTTGAACCTTCCAACCTCACAGTGCTGGTGTGCTAATGACAGTAATTATTCTGCAAACAGGGCATGTAGCTGAGTCATATCTAGTGTTGTACACTGTATGAGGGTGTATTGTTTCTGCTTCTCTTTGCCCTCATTGAACTGGCATGTGATCTCCAAATAATATGTTGGGCCTATTAATTAGCGAAATTTCAACACCCCCACATCGTACACCACAGATGGTTTTTTAACCCAATGTCCAGGTTTTAGTTTCTGAATATTTGAATGTGGTGGGTTATATAAAGTACAGCAGATTGTCTGCCATTTGAATTGTCTTTTTAAAGGTCGAGATTACTCTCACAAACCTACATTTCCATTGGATGTAAAATATTGGCTAACTGATTTAGCTACAGTAGACAGATGATCTTACAGACACTGTGATCTGAGGGTAAGTGCTTTGATTGATTCAAAACTCAGGGGAGAATCATCTGAACTTCAAGGCAAAGCAATGTTATTCCTACAGAGAGATATCCACCGATACTTAAACATAGTTTGAAGATAAACGCGACAGATCCCAACAGTGTTGTGTGAATTTGGAGTTGGAGCAGTGTTTGCTCTTATGAGAGTAAACTAATATCCTCTCATGTAGTGCTTACAGTAGGGGGATTAGTGTGGCTTGAGTAATGCCTTGGTGTTACAACTTTGGTGACTGCTGTGTGGAATGATCATGCCAACAATGGTCCTGGGAGAAGCTTTCAAGTTTTAGCCGATTTGTGTAGGTTTATTCATTTAGTTATTTTCATGGCTTTTGTTTGACCTTTGTATTTAACAGAGCTTTACCTGCATTCCTTCTTCAATGAACACATATTTTAATTGTCAGAGTAGGAGAGGGTCAGACAAAGATCACCATAGAGGACACAGGGTGAAACCATTGTTTAATGTATGTATGGGTCCTCTGTAGCTCAGTTGGTAGAGCATGGCGCTTGCAACGCCAGGGTTGTGGGTTTGTTTCCCACGGGGGCCAGTATGAAAAAAATGTATGCACTCACTAACTGTAAGTCGCTCTGGATAAGAGCATCTGCTAAATGACGTAAATGTAGTTGTGGATTGAAAATAATGAGTTTTTGTTGTGTCTGTTGAAGTTTTAGAATATTCTATAGACTAGAGTAGAATACAACATAGAATAGAGGGTTTTGTGCCAAAGATGTTATATAAATGTTATACGCATCAGTGCATGAGAAGAAGTTCTGGTTTCTCAAGCAGTGTACCTGAAAGGTGTGGGTTTTCGCAGCGCTAAATTATTATCTATTAACACCAGATTTGAACTTTTAACAGATGTTTTTTTTTTTGGGAGGTAGATCAGCTTAAATATTGCAGATAGATTGTAACTTCCATCAATGTAATTGTCTGCATCACTTCCAATCCCCCATTAGTTTTTTCTCTCGCATATATATATATATATACATATACATACACATACAGTGGCTTGCGAAAGTATTCACCCACCTTGGCATTTTCCCTATTTTGTTGCCTTACAACCTGGAATTAAAATTGATTTTTGGGGGGTTTGTATCATTTGATTTACACAACATGCCTACAAACAAGAAATAAGACAAAAAAACTGAAAACTTGAGCGTGCATAAATATTCACCCCCCCCAAAGTCAATACTTTGTAGAGCCACCTTTTGCAGCAATTATAGCTGCAAGTCCCTTGGGGTATGCCTATAAGCTTGGCACATCTAGCCACTGGGATTTTTGCCCATTCTTCAAGGCAAAACTGCTCCAGCTCCTTCAAGATGGATGGGTTAAGCTGGTGTACAGCAATCTCTAAGTCATACCACATATTCTCGATTGGATTGAGGTCTGGGCTTTGACTAGGCCATTCCAAGACATTTAAATGTTTCCCCTTAAACCACTTGAGTGTTGCTTTAGCAGTATGCTTAGGGTCATTGTCCTGCAGGAAGGTGAACCTCCGTCCCAGGCTCAAATCTCTGGGAGACTGAAACAGGTTTCCCTCAAGAATTTTCCTGTATTTAGCACCATCCATCATTCCTTCAATTCTGACCAGTTTCCCAGTCCCTGCCGATGAAAAACATCCCCACAGCATGATGCTGCCACCACCATGCTTCACTGTGGGGATGGTGTTCTCAGGGTGATGAGAGGTGTTGGGTTTGCGCCAGACATAGCGTTTTCCTTGATCTGACCAGAGTACCTTCTTCCATATGTTTGGGGAGTCTCCCACATGCCTTTTGGCGAACACCAAACGTGTTTGCTTATTTTTTTCTTTAAGCAATGGCTTTTTTCTGGCCACTTTTCCGTAAAGCCCAGCTCTGTGGAGTGTACGGCTTAAAGTAGTCCCGTGTAGCTCATATATAACCTATATATAACCTATATACCGAATTCATATTCATTATATAAATAGGCCCATTTAATTTTGTCTGGCTTGCCGTTCCAAATAAAATGGAATCTTTTTTTCTCATATAATTTAAAAAAAACTGTTCGCTAGGCGTAGGCAAGACCATAAGCAAATAGGTAAACTGGGATAATACTAAAGAGTTAATCAGGGTGATTTTTCCACAAATAGACTGGTATTTACCTTTCCATGGTAGCAAGATCTTATCTATTTTTGCAACATTCTATTAAAATGTATTGGAGTGAGATCATTTATTTCATTTGGGATATGTATTCCGAGTATATCCACATCACCATCAGACCATTTTATTGGTAAACTACATGGTCATGTAAAATTTTTATTTTTTAGTGATCCAATACGTAATATAGTACATTTATCATAATTTGGTTGTAATCCAGAGAGGTTAGAAAATGTATCTAGATCCTCTATGAGGCTGTGGAGGGATTCAAGTTGTGGATATAAAAGAAGACATGAATCATCAGCATACAATGACACCTTTGTTTTTAAGATGTGGATCATTCACACATTGCATGACTAACCCATTTCAAAAGGGGATCTGAGGCATTCCTCTGTTCCTTACCAATATCACAACTGAGAATCCTGCTCTGTTTCCACATTTCAATCACGAAGTGCTTTTTAATACTAAGGTGATTACATTTTTACACAGGAACTTATTTTTTCAACAAATTTAGATTGGATTGGACATTTTAAAGATTTCTGTGACAGCACCTGCCAGAAGGGGTGATTGTAAGGGTCTGATTGGGGCTGAGGTGGGGTGCGTCACAAGGGGCAGGGTGACAGACAGGGGCGGTCAGAGGCGGCTGTCTCCAGGTAGCCTCAAATAAACACTTGTCATTTGTGTCCTTGGTGAGGAGGGTCAGATAAGCTGCCCTGTCCAGATGCTGTCCATCACTCTACAGCCCATCTACTCAATGACCATGGAAGACAGAGAGAGTGCAGAGCAAAGAAAGAGAAATGTGGCAAGAATAAAATGGGGGTGGGACACAAAAGAACAGTTTACAAAGAGGTACAGTGCCAGAGACATAAACAGAGAGCTGGTGGAAGGAAATGAGAGATTGAAACAATAGAAGTGGAATGAGGGAGAAACAAGGGGAATTGATGCGAAGATTAGAGCCAATCAGCGAATCAACGTTCAGCGAAGTATAGAGAAAGACATTTGGTCTAACGCTTCCTCACTCACTCCATTTTCTCCTGAATTCACTGCGGCTCTGTTTGTGATTAAGTCAGCTGGCCTGGCTCTGGGTGAGTCTTGTAAGGCACTGTTAAGCACGTGTATTGCCCTGTTTGCGTGTAGTAGAGTTCATGTCTTTGAGTTGATGTTCGTGTGGTCTTTATACCATGTCTTTGGGCCGGGGGATGATGGAAATGCTGGTGTGTGGATGTGTAGCGGGGCGTGGCCTGGGGAAAACAAGAGTATGGAAAAACAGACGGCTGTTTCACACTGGAGATGTCACAGGAACTCCAGCCTCGTTAAACATTGACTCATTACGCTTGTTTCTGTGTGTGTGTGATCTGTAAAATCCATCTGGCCCTGCTTTTTGTTTGTTGGGGTCTGTTTTTTGGAGACCGTGTGTGTCCGTTTATGCATGTGTGTGTGCGTAAACGAGCATTTGTGCTCGTGAGCAAGTGTGCGTGTGTCATAATGAAACAGCTTTTAGCCCGCAATTACTCTACTGCTCAAACAGGAAATGAAATGTGTCAGATAGGGACTAGGAGCTGTATCCAAGGTCCACTCATCCTCATAGCCAAGTTCTCCCCGGGATGTCTCCCACCTTTCCTGTACAAAACCATCACCATAAGTAGATGCTGCCATTTCATGGACGCAAAAGGTAGCCAGGCAATGTGGATGAAACTCTCACCTCTATCTCACCATTATCTGCAACATGGCAGCAGAAGTGTGAACGAAAGTAGATTTGAGATTTTCCACGACTGCCATTTTGTCAGCCATAATTGTGTGAAATATGGCCCAGGTAATACAGAATTCTACTCCTGGCAGGGAGTTAACAGATATCATGAGCTACTGTGAGCTTCCATTATTCTGGAGGATCCCCCAATGTTTCCCATTCACCACAGCCAGGCATCCATGGTTATGTGTCTTAACACTATCTCTCTCCTCAGTTTCTGTGTGCAGGTGTGATTTGTAGCACAGAGACATTTCCACTGACCTTTCCACCCCCTCTGGTTGTCTTTGTCTGGCCAGGTTCTGGAGCCATTACCACCACTGACCCGTTCCTCTTCATCACTCTCCTGATCCTGCATAAGCTCCTCCCCTTCCTGTTTGCCCAATAAGAGACTTCAACCAAACGACGACCCGAAGGTTTTCACTTTATGTACCAAACAACGAAAGGGAAATATATATAGATGTATACCGTTATGGCACATCACTGAGGATGAGGAAACGAATGGCAAAGAGAGGAGAAGAAAGGACTGAATGAAAGAGAAGGAGCCGGAGGAGGAGACGGTCGTCTTCTGACTGGGGCTAATGGAAGACACGTCTAAGAACTGGATGTATATGGATTGTATGAGAAGCATGAAACAAGGAATCTATGTGTATAAGAACTTCTCAGCTGTGTCATACACACAACCAACATCCACTAAACGCTGCATCCAGTTTCCAAATAGTATCTGCCATGCATCATGCATGGCCGTTCTTATTTATTTTCGGGTGGATATCTTTGTATGTTTTATTTTCCATGCATTATCTATTTGTATTATATTTTCAGTTCTATGGATTTTATTTTGAATTCATTTTTCAGGATTTTGAATTGATTTTGATGTTAACTGCTTTTGGTTGATTTTTTTCTTTCTAAAAGATATCCACTCCTCATGTTTGTTTAGGTTGATTTGCATGAGCTGTTGAACAGAAACCCATCATTTTTTTCACAAACATCAAAGATGGGGCTTTTTTATGTTTGGTCCATTCATGGAGACTGTGAGTCTATGTAGTTCTGTTGCCCCACTCTCTCTCTTTTATGATTTCTCAAGCGTTGTTTCATGATGTATACAAATATGACCTTATATATTTTGATTAAATAAGGCACACATTACCATAGTTGTTGTTAGTCACCTTCAATAATGTTTATTTTTATTAAAGATATGGTGGTCAAAGTTAAGACATTCATTTATAAAAATTTAAAAAAAACGTATTGGTATGTTGCCAACACCAGTTGAAATAAAAGTTGTTGTTTTTTTAAAATAAAAATGGACATCAAAGGCGTTATATGTGAATATTACATCTATTAAGCTTTCTTTGACCATACAGGTGTCACGATCGTCTAAAACAGGAACAGACCAATACGCAGCGCGTTGAGTGAACATGATGACTTTAATAGATAAAGCACGTAAATACAAAACAAAAGACGATAGTGAAGTCCAACAGTGACTATGACTGAAACGGAACAAAAACCCACAAACCCCACAGGAAAACATACAGAAATAAATATGGCTCCCAATCAGAGATAACGAGCCGACAGCTGACACTCGTTACCTCCGATTGGGAGTCATTGACCAAACCTAGAAATACAACACTTAGAAACACCCAACCAAACATAACAAAATACACCCTGGCTCAAATACAAAAGTCCCGGAGCCAGAGTGTCACAGTACACCCCCTAAAGGTGCGAACTCCGGGCGCACCAGCATACAGTCTAGGGGAGGGTCTGGGTGGGCGTCTGTCCACGGTGGCGGTTCTGGCCCTGGTCGTGGTCCCCACCCCACCTTAGTCACTATCCGCTTCCGTAGCCTCCTCCACATGACCACCCCCCAACTAAACCCCACTGGATTAAGGGGCGGCACCGGACTAAAGGGCAGCACCGGACTAAGGGGCAGCACTGGACTAAGGGGCAGTACCGGACTAAGGGGCAGCACCAGGATAAGGGGCAGCACCGGGCTAAGGGACAGCACCGGACTCAATGGCGGATCCTGGCTGGCTGGCTCTGGCGGATCCTGGCTGGACGGCTCTGGCGGATCCTGGCTGAACGGCTCATGGCTGGCTGAAGGATCTGGCTGCTCATGGCTGGCTGACGGATCTGGCTGCTCATGGCTGGCTGACGGATCTGGCTGCTCATGGCTGGCCGACGGATCTGGCTGCTCATGGCTGGCCGACGGATCTGGGCTGCTGCAATGGCTGGCGCGGGATCTGGTGTCATGGCTGGGACATGGGCCGGCTGGCGACGGATCTCTTATGGCGGGGCGTCTGCTGTCATGGCTGGCTGACGGATCTGGCTGCTCATGGCTGGCCGACGGATCTGGCTGCTCATGGCTGGCCGACGGATCTGGCTGCTCATGGCTGGCCGACGGATCTGGCTGCTCATGGCTGGCTGACGAATCTGGCTGCTCATGGCAGGCTGACGGATCTGGCTGATCCTGTCTGGCCGAAGGCTCTGGCTGATCCTGTCTGGCGGAAGGCTCTGGCTGATCCGGTCTGGCGGAAGGCTCTGGCTGATCCTGTCTGGCGGAAGGCTCTGGCTGATCCTGTCTGGCGGAAGGCTCTGGCTGATCCTGTCTGGCGGAAGGCTCTGGCTGATCCTGTCTGGCGGAAGGCTTTAGCGGCTCCGGTCTGGCGGACGGCTCTGAAGGCTCATGGCAGACGGGCGGCTTATGCAGCGCTTGGCAGACGGACAGTTCAGACGGCGTTGGGCAGACAGGCAGTTCAGGCGCCGTTGGGCAGACGGGCAGTTCAGGCGCCGTTGGGCAGACGGGCAGTTCAGGCGCCGTTGGGCAGACGGGCAGTTCAGGCGCCGTTGGGCAGACGGCAGACTCTGGCCGGCCGAGACGCACTATAGGCCTGGTGCGTGGTGCCGGAACTGGTGGTCCCGGGCTGAGGACACGCATCTCAGGGCTAGTGCGGGGAGCAGCAACAGGGCGCACAGGACTCTGGGGACACACAGGAGGCTTGGTGCGTGGTGTAGGCACTGGTGGTACTGGGCTGGAGCGGGGAGGTGGCGCCGGAAATACCGGACCGTGCAGGCGTACTGGCTCCCTTGAGCACTGAGCCTGCCCAACCTTACCTGGTTGTATACTCCCCGTCGCCCGACCAGTACGGGAAGGAGGAATAACCCGCACCGGGCTATGTAGGCGAACCGGGGACACCATGCGTAAGGCTGGTGCCATGTAAGCCGGCCCGAGGAGACGCACTGGTGGCCTGATGCGTTGGGCCGGCTTCATGACATCCGGCTCAATGCTCAATCTAGCCCGGCCGATACGTGGAGCTGGAATGTACCGAACCGGGCTATGCCTGCGTACAGGAGACACCATGCGCTCTACTGCGTAACACGGTGTCTGCCCGTACTCTCGCTCTCCACGGTCAGTCCAGGGAGTAGGCGCAGGTCTCCTACCTGACTTCGCCACACTCCCTTTTAGCCCCCCCCCAAGAAATTTTTGGGTAGTACCCACGGGCTTCCAGCCTCGACTCCGTGCTGCCTCCTCATACCACCTCCTCTCGGCTTTAGCTGCCTCCAGCTCTTCACGAGGGCGGCGATATTCTCCCGGTTGTGCCCAAGGACCCTTTCCAGCCCGTATCTCCTCCCATGTCCATGAATCCTTTGGAGGCGTCCATAAATTCTGTGTAGGTAGGTCCTGTTGCCGCTTGACACGCTGCTTGGTCCTTTTAAGGTGGGTTTTTCTGTCACGATCGTCTAAAACAGGAACAGACCAATACGCAGCGCGTTGAGTGAACATGATGACTTTAATAGATAAAGCACGTAAATACAAAACAAAAGACGATAGTGAAGTCCAACAGTGACTATGACTGAAACGGAACAAAAACCCACAAACCCCACAGGAAAACATACAGAAATAAATATGGCTCCCAATCAGAGATAACGAGCCGACAGCTGACACTCGTTACCTCCGATTGGGAGTCATTGACCAAACCTAGAAATACAACACTTAGAAACACCCAACCAAACATAACAAAATACACCCTGGCTCAAATACAAAAGTCCCGGAGCCAGAGTGTCACAACAGGAAACCATGTCTTAGTGCTCTCTAAAGTATATGGTTGACCCGTATCATGAGATAAATCTTTCCATGAACTAGAAGTGAATTAGGTATGTAGGTCACTGCTCCACAAGCACTAATGTCTCATGAAGCGCCCGTGTGCCTCACCGTCCAAGTTTATCTCCAAAGTCAGTTGCAGAACCAGTGTCTGAGCTCTATTGAATCCATGGCAGATACTTGACAGCTGAGCAGCTGTGGATACTGGCAAAGCAGACGCAAAGGTACCACTTGAGCGCCCATGTTGTCGACTGAGGGTCGCAACGCAGTCCCCTGGGAGTAGTGAGCTGTGATGTAGTCTTTCCGGCAGGATAGGCACACATTCAGCGGAAGAACGCTCGCTCATGTAAGCGAGTCTAACTAACAAACCAAAAAAAAGGAGCACGATACGCCACTACAGTTCGTTTCATTAGTCAAATGTGCATCCCAGGGAAGAGCGACGGCAACTCCCTACCTAGTCTCCTCTTGTTGTCTTTTTCAAGATCTTTCATCGTTTATCAGTTTATCACATGAATATTGGTGGAGAATGGGAAGACTGGTTTCACTTTGAACTTTAGTTTGGCTCCAGACAGTCCTTTGTTCTCAATAGATGCCTAGCAGACATGATATAAACACAAACAGAGCTCTCATTGCGAGTGTTGAATGCCAACGTCTTTGGACATTTGTTAGTTTATTATCTTTCCCTAAAACTATTATTTTGATTCACTCGTGTGTATGGACTGCATTTGTTCGAAAACTAATATCACCACAAAATAACAAACAGGTCAGATAGGTAAAAGCTAACAGCAGCAAAGCGGCAGCAACATTAAAACATTTTCGGTTATGAGCGGAGGACTTTCAGTGCCTTTTGAGGGGCTGTTTGCCCATCAAATTAATGAGTGTTTGACAAGGGCATTTAAATGTGTTACACAACATCTGACAAGGCCCTGAGTGCTCTCTATTCCCCGTAAATCATTTCCTGTAAAATTCGCAGCCGTGTTCACTCTTTTGTCTCCCTCTCGCCCGCTAAAACCATTCCTCTAACCATTGACCGAGGTGGACAATGACATCCATGGTATTGGATGCGGATTAGGAAGTTTCGCCACATCTCGTTTGCATAATACATTACCGTGTTCTGTATGGCGAGGGAGGGAGTCAACAAAGAGCCCAATGATTATTCCTCGTCAGTGTCTGATTAATTCTGGCGCACACCCCTCCTCTGCCATTATAGATGGGCTGCATTAAAGTGACAAAGCTAAGTGAGAGTAAGGCAGACACTGTCCTGCTCTGTGGACTGTGCATATGGAAATATA